CAATGAACTGCAAACAGCACTACTAATTCAGACACAAAAGTAGCCCCAAACCCCATGAAGATACCTTTGGCCTTGTGTCTACAACATACATGAAGGGGCTCCCGGGGTTGGCTTCTCGGATGGCCTGGAGCATGTGTTCATCCTCAGGACAGCGCGCACTGAACCCGGCCAGGGGCTGACTGCAGCGGCACAGGGCAGCCTGCAACACACACCACTCACTGCCACAACAGCACTGACAGAGGCCTTTGGAATGGCCTATCTTCGTCTTCATGGAAAAACTGCTACTTAATGGGCACACAGGAACACTACTGTGCCATGTTACAGGCTGAGGAAGTTGAGGCTGTTCAGCCTGGAGAAGAAAAGGTTGTGTGGGGATCTCAGAGCAACCTGCCAGGACCTGAAGGGGCTCCAGGGAAGCTGGAGAGGGACTTCATGTTAGGAGCTGCAGTGACAGGACAAGGGGCAATGGGGATAAACTGAAAGAGGGAAATTTAGATTAGATATTAGGAAGAAGTTTTTTCCTGTGAGGGTAGTGAATAACACAGGTTATTCAGGGAGGTTGTGGCTGCTCCAACAGTGTTCAAAGCCAGGTTGGATAAAGCCTTGAGCAACCTGGTCTGGTGCGAGGTGTCCCTGCCCAGGGCAGGGGGTTGGGGCTGGATGATCTCTAAGGTCCATTCCATCCCCTTAATATACTATGAAACTATTTCTCAAACTGAGAAGTTTGGGAAACTTCAGAAAGTACTGAGGCTAAGGAGCCTCAAACTGTGCTCTGCCTGATGATCAGTATCCCAAATGTTAGCATTTCATAGAATCTCAGAAGAGTTTGGGGTGGACAGGACCTAAAAGCTCAACTCATTCCACCTCCCTGTCAGAGGCAGGGACATCTTCCACTTAGACCAGGTTGCTCCAAGCCCCATCCAACCTGGCCTGGAACACTTCCAGGGATGGGGCAGCCACACCTGCTCCCCATCCAACCTGGCCTGGAACACTTCCAGGGATGGGGCAGCCACAGCTGCTGTGAGCAACCTGTGCCAGTGCCTCACCACACTCTGAATAAAATCTTTCTTCCTCTTCTCCCATCTGACCCTGCCCTCTGGCAGTTTAAATAATTTCCCCCTTATCCTGTCACTATCTGCCTGTATAAAAAGTTCCTCTCCCTTTCTATAAGCCCTTAAGGCACTGAAAGGTCACATTTTCTCATGTTTTCTCCTTGGTTTCTGTTATCCAAACCATTTTTTCACAGCTTCCCTTATCAGCTGTTACTGTTCTGTGTTCAGAACTGCACTGAATGTGCTTTAGGATAATTTCACCAGTTGCCAGCACAACTCCATGCAGTGTCCAGCTCAAGGCATGCTTCCTCAGGAAAACAATTTGTCTGTGACAGCATTTTCCTACATCAGCATCTACAACACTGCTGAGGCAGCAAAGTTAAAAATTTACATTCTGTGCAAAAAAAAATTAAACCTTCACTTACTGTGAGCTTGTGAGGATTTATTTCAGGCTGGTTCTTTCCCTTCAATACTAAGAAAATCCAGCTGAGTTAACATCTAACTTGGTAAAGCATTATTTAATCTAGCTAAACAGGAGATTAAAAACCCCACACCAGAAGGAACTGCTGAAAGCTGATAAAAAAAGAAACTCCCAACAGGAAGCTTGGAAATTTGGGCTTTTTGTACAGCTCTGGATGTGTCCCAAGTGTTTGTCTGTGGCTTATTCTGTGACTCAGAACGAAGCAGTATTAAAGCCATTAAGAGAAGCCCAGTTCTCAAACACAGATCTAATGTGCTCTAATAATGACCTCATTCTTTCCTCTCACTAGGAGGGAACTGGACAGAAAGGGGAACCCTGCCGCCCCACAAACCAGCAGGCAGTGAACCACTAACATTGTTCTCTTTACACAAGTAAGAAAGCACTGGGATCCTCCCTCGGCTCCTGAACCTTGAACTTCCCATCACCACTGCCCTGCTGGCAGCTCGAGGCACCACGAGTTCTGGAGGGTATGTGCTGCAAACCTAAGTGAGAAAAAAACCAGATATTACTACTTAAAAATTCCAAATTCATGAAAAATTCATCTTGAGCTCAATACATTAAGACGTATTTGGAAAAACAAGACAGGAATAGGTGCAAAAGAAAATAAAGTGGTGAAGGAATAAATCCATTCTACAACTTAATCTGAAAACATGGACTGCATAGCACACCAGACATATTAAAAGAAGGTCTTTTAATCCACACATTTTATGAAAGCTTCCAATTTAGAGTCACAGAATGGTTTGGGTTG